AATAAAGGTTTTTTGTTTTTTTTAAATGTAATCCAGATGCAAAATAATGTTTATATTATTTAGGCTTTATAGTAAAAATGACAAGCCTTATAACACAGCAAATATATCCAGCAGCACATTTTATTTATACTTCTACATGGAATTGTAAAGTGCTTTTGTGCTCTAGTTTGTGTTTATTATATAAAAAAAAATACAAAATAATAATAATGCAAATTTATTATTCTATATGGTAGATTGGTGTGTTTCCTTCTCATTTTCCAACAATAATTACTGGTATGCAAATTCCCAGATTTTACTATTAACATGACGTAAAGTCATGATTTTATTAAAGACACGGAGGCGAGTATTATGCATAACTCTTTCTTTATTTCCTCAGCAGCAAAGATAGAGGAATATAAATATATCAAAAATGAAAGAAAAAACTGTATAGATACACAGGCAACCAATCACATAACAGAGGAAGTGACTATATAAGGCCTGTGTCTCCCACAATCCCCCTCTTTCTTGCGAAAACCGAAGACCAGGTAAGAAGAACGATATCCTGCTTGGTCAAAACCGGGAACTGGAACAAACCGACAATTTCAAGCTAAAAAAGAGAGAGAAATATGGTAATAACCAAACTCCAAACTGTAGACTTACCAATACGAAACTAGTGACCTGTCATAAGGTTAAGGAATGAAACCTGAAAAATATAATAGACATAATTAATTAGTATATGTAATACACCATATGAAGTACATCCAAGGTAGGTCAAACCCAACATACCTGAACACGCCAAATCGCATCTCGCTCCATACCCCACACCGGGAGGGTGGGAGGGAATAATACTCGCCTCCGTGTCTTTAATAAAATCATGACTTTACGTCATGTTAATAGTAAAATCTGGGAATTTTATTAAAGACACGGAGGCTCATATTATGCAAGTTCAAAGCTGTGCTATCACCTGAGATGCGATGTGTTCAATAGGTCTGAAGTAGAAGTCACGGAAGGTCGACTCTCGAGACCAATCCGCTGCATGCATGATGTCCTCCAGACGACAGCCGACTGTCGAAGCCTTGGAAGCCATAGCACCCCTCACCGAATGGGGTGTAAAGATAGACGTGTCTATACCAGCCATAGACAACAGCCAACGCACCCAACGTGCCAGGGTCGGCGTCGCCACAGGTCGATGCGGAGTACGAAAAGAAATGAATAAAGGTCGTAGGTCTAGTGAGCGAAGAGGTCGAGTCACCTCCAAATAGACCTTTAAACACTCCACTGGACAGAGTGCCGGACACCCTTGGAATCTAGGGTATACGAAAGACCTTGATGCAGATTTAGTCCGCCTGGAAATATTAAAAGTCACACCTTCAGGGGAGAAGGTAACGGCGTCCCAATCGAGGGCCCTAACATCAGAAACCCTTTTACATGAAACCAAACAAAGCAACATAACCAACTTGGAAGACAGTTGCTTAAGGGTCAGTCCCTGGTTCGGGTACCAGGAAGATAGAAACTGAAGCATAATGTTAACGTCCCAAAAGGCAGAGAAACGAGCCTTGGGCGGACGGGCGAGGCGAATGCCCTTGAGCAGGCGACACACGAAGGGGTGTCTGCCCACGGGCGAACCATCCAAACCAACATGTCCAGCCGATATAGCGGAACGAAAAAGGTTGATAGTTCGATACGCCTTGCCCGAATCAAACAGAAAAGTGAGGTATTCCAGAATTAGATGGAGAGGGGCAGATACGGGATCCACTGCCCGTTCCATGCACCAACTAGACCATGAGCCCCATGAAGAGCGGTATGCCGATCGCGTACCTGGAGCCCAAGCGTTATCGAGGAGTTGCAGAGTCGCCCGCGAAACGTTCGGGACAACCCAGGTACCCCTGAAAGGAGCCACGCTATCAGAGGTAGCTGATGTCGGAGCACCAGCTCGTGCGAGTTCCCATCCGGGTCCAGGAGAAGATCCTGGAAGCTCGGAATCAGTCTGGGGTAGTCTATCGACAACTCCATCAAGCGTGGGAACCAAGGACGGGACCTCCAAAGAGGTGTGATCAGTACCAGGCAGCAATCGTGCCGGACCAACTTCGATATCGTGCGAGCGATCATGTTGAACGGTGGGAAGGCATACAGGCGTCCCGGAGGCCAGTCTTGGAGAAAGGCGTCCGTCGCTACTGCTGCCGGGTCTGGCCTCCAGCTGTAAAACGCCGGGAGTTGAGTGTTCAGACGTGAAGCGAACAGGTCCAACTCGAAGCGTCCCCAGAGACTGTCCAGACCTCGGAAAACCGAAACGTGCAAGTGCCAATCTCCCGAGTCTCTTAAGTGCCTGGAATTCCAATCCGCACCCGAATTGTCCAGGCCCGGAATGTGTTCCGCCTGCACCGAGACGTTGTTGAGGAGACAAAATTGCCAGAAATCCTTCGCCAATAGTGCCAACATTCTGGACTTGGTACCCCCAAGATGATTTATGTACCGGACTGCCGACACATTGTCCATCTTGAGGAGAACGCAACAGTCTGCCCGGCCTGGGGTCAGACTGCGTATCGCGAAGGCCCCCGCCAGCAGTTCTAGACAATTGATGTGTAGGGACCTCTCCATGTCGGACCATCTGCCTCCGGTGGAAACGTTTCCACAACGAGCACCCCAGCCGTGTAAGCTGGCATCGGATTCTATCACGACATCCGGGACCGAACCGAAGATGGCCCGGCCATTCCAGGCCTCCATGTGTGCCAACCACCATACCAACTCGTCTCTGGACTCGTCGTCCAGACATATCCGGGACTCGTAAGAGCGACCCGAACGTAGGTGTGAACCCTTGAGTCGTTGGAGGGCACGATAGTGTAGCGGGCCCGGAAAGATCGCCTGAATCGAAGCCGCCAGAAGGCCGATAATCCTTGCCAGTTGCCTGACGGACATATCCGGCACCCGAAGAGCCCTTCGGAGCTCCTTCTGAATGGCCTTCATTTTGGACTCCGGCAAGTACAGGAATTGCCTGATGGAGTCCACCTGGAAACCTAAGAATTCTATAGATTGGGTAGGGACCATGACCGACTTGTCCCAGTTGATCAGAAAACCCAAATTTTGGAGAAGGTTGATTGTCCAACCCAAATGTAACAGCAGAGATTCCCTGGATTGGGACATGATCAGTATGTCGTCCAGGTAGACGATCAGTCGCACCCCACGGGTACGAAGGTAAGCCATGACCGGCTTCATGAGTTTGGTGAAACACCAAGGGGCCGACGAGAGGCCGAACGGCAGGCAAGTGAAGCGCCAGCGTCGACCGTGCCACGTGAAGTGGAGGTAATCCCTGCAGCTCAACGCTATGGGGACTGTAAAGTATGCGTCCTTCAGATCCAACTTGGCCAACCAATCCGATTGGCGAAGGAGGTCTCTGAGGCAGTGTATACCCTCCATCTGGAAATGTTGGTAACGGAGAAATGCGTTGAGGGGACGAAGATTTATCACGGGACGAACCCCGCCCCCTTTCTTTGGCACCAGAAAAAGATTGCTCGTGAAGCCTGGAGAGGCCAACGGCATTTCCTCTATGGCACCTTTCGTGAGCATCTCCTCTACTTCCTTGGTAATCATGTCGTCCTGATCCTGTGGGAGGGACAACTCTCTGGGGGTGCGAACCTGGACAGGCATAGAAACGAACTCCAGGTGATAACCTTTTACACATCGCAAAACCCAAGCATCTGAGGTTACATCTGTCCACCCCTGGTAGAATAAGGCTAGCCTCCCTGCCACCCTTACATGATCGAGAGGGGAAAAATGGGTACTCACCATAAGGGCGTCTGCCCGAAGCGGCACCACGGGGATACCTGGAGCCCCAGGATCTCCCTCTGGCTGGGAAGAAGGGAGGCGACCTCGTATCCTGAAATCCTCGGGAAGGAAAGAAGGAACCTCTGGAGGCCCTGAACGAGCCACGGAAGCCCCGGCCGGGTGGACGGTTCCTGCTACGCCCGGCCCCTCCGAAAACCTTGGGAGCGAACACGCGCTTCATATTCGCTTGGGCCTTGTCAATGGCCGTAAAGGTCTTAACATAGGAACCAAGGTCCTTCACGAAAGAGGTTCCAAACAGTAAACCCTCGTCAGAGGGGTCAGGTTCCGCTACCGTCATGGCAGCCAATTTGGGATCGATCTTAAGGAGAATCGCCTTACGCCTCTCCGAAGACATGGCGGTATTAGCGTTCCCCAATAGGCAGATCGCCCTCTGGACCCACCCAATGGCCACATCGATATCCATAATCGAGTCTCCAGCCCTAGCGGCATCTAGCAGCTCGTAAAGTTTAGACAGAGGGCCCAGGGTATCCAATATCTTGTCTTGGCATCCCTTGAGGGAGTAATCCAAACCCTTCTTGGGCTTCCAGCCTGATTTATTCATGAATTGGGCTATTTGGGGGTCGATATCCGGAGTCTTACAGGCCGAGCCCGGGAGAGAGGGTCTAGGGCATTCGGCACGCAACTTGTTGCGACCCTCCTTGGAGAGGGGTGTACGCAAGCGTTTAGCCACATATTGTGCAATATGGTCCGGGGGGACCCACTCTGCTGACCGTGGGTGACGCAGATCGTCAGGGTCGAACAGTGGGTTTCCCTGGGGGTCAAAAATGGCCTTACTGTCCCCAGAGGGAATCTTAACTTGGCCTAGGGCCACGGCAGAGGACCCAGAGGGGGCAACCTCCGCGGAGGGTAATTCCTCGTCTGACCCTCCCTCATCATAGGAGTCATACTCCATAGCATCAGAGTCACGTTCCACACTCCGGTCGGTATCCGACTCATCATCTAGGGCCTTGGCCCTTTTCCACAATCTAGCCTTTTTAGCCCGGCCAGGGGCTCTTTTGCGCGTGGGATGCGCGCTGTCTGTGACCACCTCAAGTGTGTCAGTCATGGCAGGTAACACCTGCATCGAGGAGTGGGAATCAACGTGCTTAGATTTTGCCTTTGCCTTACGGGTACCAGGCACAGTCTGAGCAGAGGAAGGGGACCCCGCACCCTGGAGGGTGGGGGTAGGCAGTGAGGGCATAAGCATAGAATGCAGTGACTGAGAGAAGGAGGAAGAAACAGCACCCATTGCAGAAGCAAAAGCTTTTTGTAAGGACGAAGCCATAGTGGCATCCAGCAGGGCCTGAAATTCCTGGGAGGCCATAGCACCCTCAGGGTTATCTATATTAAAGTCACCAGGGGTGCCCACAGGCCCATCCTCCTTATCCTGCATGGTGGCAATAATAGGGGAATATACCTTTAAGTGACAGTAGATAAACAAAGCAAGCTATCTGCACTAACTGATGAAAATAAATAAACTGGAATGCAGCTTTAAGGGAAAACGAAATGGTAGAAGGGTTGAGTAACCCACAAGGAACACTGTGAAGAAAAACCTGCCCGCTGGTGCACTCAGGGGACCCAGACCGGGGAGACAGACCGCACGGCAGCAGCAGAGTGAGCGACCGATCAGCCGACGGACCGCCCAAAATGGCCGCCGCACGTGTGGTATCACGATCGCGGACTGATCCCCGGCGGGGGAGGGGGCGCGCGCACCCTACCCGCGCGGGCAGCCCGCGATCGGGGAAGCAGAGACAAACACAGCCGCGGCTCAGGAGACTGCCGCGGCTATGAAACACAGCCGGGTCCCGCGCGGCACCCGCAAGGGGGGGGAAGAGAGAGCGCAGGAGGACAGTATAACCGGGGGGAAAACCCAGGAGGTGAAGGGGAGAGCCCGAGCACACCAGCAGAAGGCTGCCCAGTAAAGGCAACCCAAGCAAGTCACAATAAAAATATAATGTAAAAATAATGTAAAACAGACAAAATATAACATCAGAGACAAACTAAGGATAAGAGCAAATACTTAGCTGTCTGAGGAAGCAGCAAAGAAAGAGGGGGATTGTGGGAGACACAGGCCTTATATAGTCACTTCCTCTGTTATGTGATTGGTTGCCTGTGTATCTATACAGTTTTTTTTTCTTTCATTTTTGATATATTTATATTCCTCTATCTTTGCTGCTGAGGAAATAAAGAAAGAGTTATGCATAATATGAGCCTCCGTGTCTTTAATAAAATTGTAGGTTATTCTGTAATGAGACGTTAAACATGAAAAGGTTACAAGGCATTGAATCCATGTAAACATCCATTTTCAATTAGTAGATACAATGTTAACATTCTAAATTGTGGATAGGTATTCAATGCGTTTCTGAATTACATAGAGTGTTATTATAACCACCATAAATATGTGACATTCAAATAAAAAAATTCAGCTTAATGCTGTTGTCACAAATACACTGCATAGTAAATTACTTGTAGATTTTTATAGAATTTATTCAGTTTGCTTATTTTGATAACCATTGGGCAAAAATGACTCCACTTTTATACATTGGCTCCTGCAAACTATATAGTCTTTAGCTGTGGTTATGTTTGATGTAGTGTAACCAGTGGTAAACATTTAAACTGGCATCTTTATCATGTATTATTACATTGCATTAACATTTCTATTTATTAAAGGGACAATATAGTTACCAAAATAACTTTATCTTAATGAAGAAGTTTTGGTATATAGAACACCCCCCCCCCGCAGTCTCGTTACTCATTTCTCTGTCATTTAGAAGTTAAATCACTTTGTTTATGCAGCCCTAGTCACTCCTACCTGCATGTGACTTACATAGCCTCCCTAAACACTTCCTGTAAAGAGTCATCTAATATTTATACTTGCTTTATTACAAATTCTGTTTAATTTAGAATTTCTTATCGCCCCTTCTTTTAATAGCTTGCTAGACTGTGCAGGAGCCTCCTGTGTGTGATTAAAGTTAAATTTGCAGAGCAGGAGATAAAAACGTTTATAGTAAGTTTCATCTGATTGAATGTGAAACCATTTTTTTTTCATGTAGGTGGTCAGTCACCACCAGGGGAGGTCTGGCTAGAGCTGCATTAACAGAAACAAAAGTAATTTAACTCCTAAATGGCAGAGAATTGAACAGTGAAACTTCAGAGATATGATCTGTATAACAAAACTGCTTTATTAATCTAAAGTTGTTCTGGTGACTATAGTGTCCCTTTAAGAAAAAGATAAAAAAAAAAAGGGCCTGTAAATCAACATACTTTCAAGCTTACACCAGTACAGAAAAATAGGTTTTGGGTTAGAAGAATTCTGGTAATTTATTTTACTGTTATAAGAATTAGAGTAAGGGAAAATAGATTTAGGGTTAGGAGATACAAGAAAAAGCTAAATAGTTTTATGTTTGGAAAGTATGATAAGGGGGTTTAGAGTAGGAGATTTAGCGTTAGTGGTATAGAAGTTCCTGATCAGTGCTCCCTCCTTGTTTTGACTGGAAAGTGGTCTGAAGAATAGCTTAGGGTATTATGATATAGACTTAGCATGCAGCAAGCTTCTCTGTTTGGTCTCTTTTTGTACTTGTGTTTCAACATGTGGGGTTGGGATAAAATATCTGGCCAGCACCTGAGATAGAAGTAAATAATAACAATAATAATGGCCCATTTCGCAAGATTCTCTGGTCTCCCCCTGCGGCCCTTGCCTTGTTATAACGATGGTCCACTGGACATTTGATCAGTTTGCCTGATGGCCAGACTACGCCTACCTCATATATATTGCTGTGACCTTTTTGATCTGCTTTACACATTTATTTCTCTATTTTGTTATTTTTATTCCCTGGTAGTTTCCAAAAGAGAAGTCAAAAGTCTAAAGTAAAGAACATATTGCTTTGCAAGTTATGAATCATTGAGAGGTAGGTGAAGACATGATTCAAAAGGGAAGGAGGGAAATTTTACGGAAGAGTGATATATATGAAGGTCTTCGGTCCATAGGTAATATTAAAACCTAAAAACATGTTATTAGATTATCAGGACACGGGGGCGTGGCCTGACAGCCGACGGACATGGCCGCATGAGCGCGAAGCTCCGGACCCAGACCGGGTAATCAGGGGGGCAAACGGCACTTACTGACAACAATGGCATCCAAAAAACACCGCAGCACCGCGGGGCAAGCTCCTGCCTCCGAAACACCGGCAGCCAAAACCTCCCTGCGGCGCTTTTTCGGCGATCACACGGAAGCACACAGACGGGACAAAATGGCGCCCGCGGCACAAACGCGAGGCAGCCAGCCCCCGAGCCCAACAGCATCAGATGAGCCCACAGAGGAACAAGATATACGGTCCTTGCTGACCCAACTACCCTCCAAGACCGACCTGGCAGCCTTATTTCAGAAACTGGAGGACAGCTTCAGTGAGAAGCTACAGGCTGTTAATGCAAACGTGCAGCTGCTAGGGGACAGAGTCCAGGCTCTGGAAGAAGAGGCAGAAACTACTGAAAAACAATGGGCTGAGTCCTATGCTACCCAGGAGACACACGCAGAGGCAATCAGGTACCTGCAGAGACAGCTTGAAGACGTAGATAACAGAGGACGCAGGAATAACCTGAGGGTGAGAGGTGTCCCTGAGAGTGCAGAAGGGGTCCCAGAAAACCCCGTGCAGGTTCTGACAGCCCTTTTCAACCGCATTTTAACCAGACCACTGGACACTGCCATTTTATTTGATAGAGCCCACAGAGCGACCAGACCTAGGAACCTGCCCCCAGATAAACCACGGGACATTATTTGCCGCATACATAACTTCCCCCTAAAGGAAGAAATCTTCCACAAAGCCCGACAGAACAAGGATATCAAGATCGACGGACACCCGGTGATCGTCTTCCAGGACCTAGCGCCATCCACGCTGCAAGCTAGGCGTGCACTACGACCTATCACACAAGCCCTGTCCGAGAGAAATATCAAATTCAGATGGAGCTTCCCGTTCGCTCTCACAGTTACGCTCCAAAACAAAACGCACACTATAACCTCACCAGACGACATACCTGAATTCCAAAGAGCCTTGAAACTACCGTCGTCCGAGGTGGAGGATTGGACGGGCCTGAGAGGCACATCAGTGGGACGGACTCCGCACAATCCTAAGTGGCAAAAGTCCCCTCGAAAACGTCGTAGACAGAACCATCCCAGAGCAGACGCAGCACCGACATGAGCAGTACACGGTCGTATGATCAGACTCTCTCTCTTTTTCCTATCTACCATTTTCTCTCTTAATCCTCCCATGCGAGTATCCACTGCGGTACACCCAGTAAATGGACTGACATTACTTTCCCACTGTGATGCAAATGTTGAAATGTTATATTGTGTTAAACTTGGTTATGCCTTTATGAATAACATGTTACATTGCCGTTACCGGGCCCTAGAATTCACGAGGAAAATATAAGGTTAACTTTCCCATCAGGGCCTCAAACGGCCGGGCTCACAGGGCACACTCTACTCCCTAGCCGACGCACACCTCTGACCTCCCTGGCTAGGGTAGAGGAGGTAGGCTGTATCACTTCTACAAAGCCCTGTGAGACCCCCCCACCCCCCTATGATACACCCGGTCGGGTGCTCCGGCCACCACCCCCCAGAGAGGCGCCACAACCCCACTTGTGGACACAGCGAGTTATCCACAAGTGTAGCGCCAATCTCAACGCCAGAGATGGCTCTCATCTACTGTTTTAATGTACATAGTTTACAGTTATCCCCCGTCCACCTTCCACCAAACACCCCTGCCATTACTATCGTACTAAAGGTACTACCGACAGGTGCTCCCCATGTCCTATTTGAGACACTCTCATCATCGTTCCTACCACCATGACTCAAACCAAACTGATGTCCCTAAATGTTAGGGGTCTCAATTCACCCATGAAACGCACAATGCTAGCACAGGAGATCGATAGACGAGGTGCGGAAATAATTTTCGTGCAGGAGACGCATTTCAGGGGAGAGTTCAAACCAAGAATCCACTATAAACGTAGTAACTTAGCATACTACAGTAACAACACCCAAAAGAAATCCAGAGGCGCTGCAATACTCATAGCCTCCACAGCCGCCTTCACAGAAATGGGAGTTAGAACTGATCCCAGAGGCAGATTTGTCTTTGTAAAAGGAATGTACAATGGCACTTTGGTAACTCTGGCTAGCATCTATGTCCCTAATGCAGACCAGACCTCCTACATACGATCATGTTTGACAAAGTTAGAGACATTTGCCGAGGGAGTAGTAGTGGTGGGCGGAGACTGGAATATGGTCCTTGACCATTCAATCGACAGCTCTTCCACCACTACAGACACCAGACGACATCAAAGGAGGATGTTCACTAACGTGCTACACGCACACCAATTATCTGACTGCTGGAGGATCATGCACCCTCAAGGCAGAGACTATTCGTACTACTCTCAGACAGCTAAAAGCTACTCCAGAATAGATATGTTCATGGTCAGCCATAGACACCTCCCCATGGTCCAGGACGCATCCATAGGCAACATTACGTGGTCGGATCATGCCCCGATCCTCTTAACTCTCACACTACAGGATAGGTCCAGGCCTACTACACAGTGG